TTTGTATAGTTCTTATGTTCTTATGATGTTGGTCCCCGGAAGGTGGAATGTTTTTCATTATGTGGGTTAGGACCAGTCGTTCAAAGCACTTCATGATTATGGGGCTCAGGGCCACTGGACGAGTCGTTCAGGAACCTGACCACTGCTGGTTTTGAAACAGGGATGATGGTAGTAGTCTTGAGGCAGGTGTGACAGTGGCTTATTCTAAGGAGATGTTGAACAGGCTGGTGAACAGTTCCACCAGCTGTCACGCACAGTGCTACAGGACCTGTCCAGGAACCCCATTCAGGCCAGTGGCTTTATTTGGGTTGATGTGACTTTATTTGGGTTGGGCAGATGAGGGAACTCCATCCAGTGGTAGCTTGGTAGTGGATTGGTTGTTGACTGGCGAACCATTTGAAGAAGTGGTTCATCTCATCAAGGAGAGATGGCTTAACTGGGTTTGTTAGGCTGCTACTTTTGTAGTCTGTGATGGACTTCATGCCTTACCACATGCAATGGGAGTCTGAGCTGTTAAAGTGCTCTTCTATTCACATTTTGTAGCTGCACTTTGCCCATCTGATACCTTTCCTCAAATTGGACCTTGCACTGCGGACTAAATATAGGGCCTTTAACACGTTTGCCATGTGCCCGTTGTTGTTCAGCCAGCCAACCGTCCTCCTCTTCTGCCTTCCAGCCTCACTCGGAGCCCAAGGTGGGCGGCCGCGCCAATATGCCACGCTGCCGCAACTCGTTTGCCACCACGGCGGACGAGCAGCCGCACATCGGCAACTACCGGCTGCTGAAGACCATCGGCAAGGGCAACTTTGCCAAAGTGAAACTGGCCAGGCACGTGCTGACGGGGAAAGAGGTAAATATGAGGGCATGCAGGGAAATGTGCCGCATGCAAATGTGTGTGTGTGTGTGTGTGTGTGTCCACCACCAAGGTCATTCAGAAACTTCACTGAAACACAAAGAAATTTAATTATCCTTTGGAGCTCAAATAGCTTATGTATGTATAAGTATAAATGATCTAATTTGCTGTAATAATAATCTAATTGTGTTTGTTGCACATGAGAAAGAAGTAGTATTGCCAAAATGCTGAACTGTCAGGGTAGTCCAATACATGCAATGCTGCTGTTTTTTTATTCCTAACTGACCCCCAAAACTGCTATCAGAGCTCCATCTACTTTAATTCCACTTCAGTTTCCGTTCTCTATTTCTGCACACATTTCTTAGCATTTGCCTGTTTCTATGGAAACAAGGCAAGCTTCAATCTATGCAGTGCAGAGTTCTCCTCTTTTCAGAATACTGTCTGGCCAATCATTTTTTTCCCCCCTGTTAATCTGCTTATTAATTTAGAAGCTAGTTTTGAACAGTGGGTTTCTGGGGGGCAGTGTTGGGCTGTAATAGTTTGTTTTATCGGCTCTTAATGATTTCAAACTGCCATATCACTGGTAGCACATGTGATTAATACTGGCAGGGCAAAGGGGGAGATTGCAGAGCATAATGTAACAGCAGGCTTCAGTCTGGCTTTTTGGACTCTTCAGGTTGATCTCGATTAATTGGAATGTTTTGTTTATTTGGCTGACCAGTGCATCATCATGATAAAACCCAGTTCATAATGGCTTAAAATACCAGTTTTAGTAATGGCTCTAGAAATGACTCGAAACATTCATTGTTCCAACATTATAACCTTTAATTCACATGCAAATTCAGGAAAATGAAAAGTGACAGTTCATTCTTCCTGTTGTTATGGTCTCAAATTTATATCGACCAAAGGCTGAAAGGTCAGGGACCATATGACTGCATTCGATTTTTTTTCTTAAAGATCAGAAATTCTCCCACATCTCAGCTGTCAGCAATGTGTCTCGTGTCTGTGAGTGGCGAGGCTGGTCCGCGACTCAGAGCAGGGAAGCCTAAGAATGTTCGCTCGCTGCCTCCTCTGTTTATTGTGTCCCTGGCTGGAGCCTCTCGATTGGAAGCAGAACACTTAACATTCAGCTGTGAGCTGGTCTGTTGTTTTGATGGCCGGGCCCGTCGGTGTGTGACCGAGCCGTGCCTGACACGCCGATAACGTCCCATGTGATCCGCTGGCAGGGAGGGCACCCGGAAAATCAAGGCACTGTCCTCTTTTCGCGAGCAAAATGGACTGCCTGTTTCCGAGAAACACTCATGAGAGGGTAAATTCTTTACTCGGGCCTATTGTGGTGTTGTTCTATTAAAATATTTTGCCCACAGTGTGATTTATAATTGTATGAGTAAATCTCATTGGGGGGGGAGGCGCTCATAACAGGGCCTTCGTACCTTTTTAATGAAAGCGTGTGTTGACAGAGGTTAAACTCTTCCAGGAACCAGGAATCTGAAGGGAGTGCACATTAGTCATACTGACCAATAATGAGATTTGACTGAATGTAGTTAATTGCACAAAAAACAGTGAAAGAAGTCTTCAGTTAAGTGCAGTTGCTATATGCTGAATATATTGAGTTTTCAAATTTCTACTGATATGTTTTGGAGTGCGACAAGATTAAATGGCCTAGCTGAAATGTCTCTAGTCCAATTGATAAACATAAAGTTTTTAAGTATGAATCTGAAGGAACTCAATAGTATCTTATTAGAGCCATTCAGGGATGTACCTAAGTGTTAGACATTAGAATTAAATATTTGAAATAAGGTTTTGGTGCATTTAAATGTGTTTCATCATTTACGTAGATAAGTCCCGCTGATGATGAAGGATTGATGCTCATGCTAGTTACTCAAACTCATCAAGAAGGGATCAACCGTGGAGTATATGGAGGTTTTGCTTCTGTATTCTCATAGATGGAGCATTTACAGAAGCTGTACCTCCTTGGTTTGTCTCTTATCTTGCTCCAGGTGGCTGTGAAAATCATTGATAAAACTCAGCTGAATTCCTCCAGTCTCCAGAAGGTGAGTGTGATGTCTTGCCAGCCCTGTGCTGTCATTTCCTTCATCATTACTTTGCTTCCTTCTATCATCGTTATTTTGCACGTACATCTTTAATGTCTAAAGTAATGGTGATGGTTTCTGAGTTGCAGAGAACTGTTACGACAGCCAGAGAAGTTTATTTGTAGTGTGAAGGGGGCTCATGCGTCCCAAATTTCCGCAGAAAAGGCAGCCCTGGTCCAGCTCACGCTGTTGTTCCTTATGTCATATGCTGATTGTGCTCGGGAGTTCCGTAGCGCTGCAGCATAATCGCCATTGTTCTGTCGGGGGCTGGGGAGGGCACTTACATCATGCCGGGTGTCCCAGCTGTCTTCCCGGTGACGTGCGGCCGACTCGCTCGCTTCCAGCGAGGCGCCTCCTGGAGTCGCTTTAGCTCCCCTGGGCACCACCTTGCCGCTCACCGTGACTGACTGGTTGCCTGCTGATGCCCTGGGTTTTGTGGGAGATCAGACGTGTGGCCTTTTTATGCATCCCGCGGTGCTCAGAGGGGACTCGCTGACAGCAGGGTGTGACGGAAAGTTTTAATAATAAACAGGAAGAAATCATTTTAGCCAGATGTCACTAAGACCAGTCTGAGTGGCGTTTCCAGCAGATACGGTAATGGTCAAAACAGGTAGCCGTAGAAGGCTAATTGTCGTGTTGATGATGCCAGTAAGAATTCCCTGAAGTTCTCAGTCCTCAAATCTTTTCTTTCTTTGTGTAATTGCTCTACTCTCTCTCTCTCTCTCTCTCACCCTCAACTAACCCTTTCTGCTTTCTAGCTCTCATCCGACTCCCTCTCTCCGTGCCCTTCTCAATAGCAGGTTTATTCCTGCCTGTGTCCCAGGGGCTAAGGGGCAAAACTGGGGTAATTAGAGGAAATGAGGCTAAAATGCTTCCTGGAGTTGACGTTGTGTACATTAGGATGCACACACTTAAAAAGGCCGGACACTAATAAGTAAGTCCAGCAGCCTGACACACCCATAAGCACTCCTACTCTTCTTAAAAGTACTGATGACATTTATAGGTTGAAGTTTGTTGATAATGCTCACCCCAGCCCCCCCACCCCCACCGGAACAAAAATGCATGCAGACACAGATCTAGGTATGACTAACTCCGAGTTCTCCCTGCTCCCTCTGTGTACTCCAGCTCTTTCGAGAGGTGAGAATCATGAAGATGTTGAATCACCCAAATATTGGTGAGTATGCCTGTGCACACATGGCTTGTACTGCTCTGGGGGCTCTTTGATGAGCGGTGGTGGAGATCTCAGCTCTGGGGGGAGGGGAGATTGACCATTTTGGGACCGGTTTGTTGGTTTAATTTGTTAAGAAAAAAGTGACTGGTAAGTCGGCTGATAGTACGAATAAATGAATGACTGACCCCTCTTCTTTTAACGGTGTTTTGTTTACGATATTAAAATGTTAAGTATAATGTGTATAAACATGCATAGCTAAAAGGAGAAAAGAAGATCAGCGGGTGAGGTCACCTGACACCGTGGTTAGTGTTAGTGATACCTAGCGCTTTTGTTTTTAATGATGATGTTTTTCCTCTCCTCCCTCTGTTTGCAGTTAAGTTATTTGAAGTCATAGAAACTGAGAAGACGCTGTACTTGGTTATGGAGTATGCCAGTGGGGGTAGGTGTTTCAGTCGTCACTCATTTAGCACTTTTACATCAGTCCCCCCCCCTCCCCCCCCCCACATCTTGAAGGAATTGTGAGGTTTACAGGCTCCTGTTCTTAGTGACCTAATCGGCCAGCCGCTCTGTTTGTGTGAGGAAAGCCGTCCTTGATATTTAAGAGCTGGAGCTAAGAGGAGGCAGGACGAAGTGGGTGAGTGACTGTCTGACTGTACGCAGCGGCACCCCTGACTCTGCCTCTCCATCTCTCTGTCCCCAAGGTGAAGTGTTTGATTATCTCGTCGCTCACGGGCGGATGAAAGAGAAAGAGGCCCGGGCCAAGTTCAGACAGGTGGGAGGCCGCTGCACTTCAGTGCTGTGGAATGCCGACTCTGCCCTGTCGCCGCAGCCTGTTCACTCGGCCTCCGGGCTGTCCTGGGGCTTCTCGTTGGGTAAACGTTCAGTCTCAAGGGCTCGTCCAGGTGGCCTCATGGTGTTCTGTGGGGTCCCAATCTCATGGGAGCAGATGCATCAATTAGTGAGGGAACGTCTCTGCTTTATGAGATGGAAGCTAAGGGTAAAGACTCTGAAGTCCATAACTGAAGGTTTCATTCAGCTGCCTGAGGTGGCAGGTTTATGTGAGACACTCGGGGGCCATGTCTGCCAAGCTGTAACCCCCCCCTCAGGCCTAACAGTCGTATCTTCTCTCTGCAGATCGTGTCAGCGGTGCAGTACTGTCACCAAAAGTGCATAGTGCACAGAGATCTGAAGGTGAGGCCGCCGTTGGGCACTCGCAGCACTGTCTCTCTCTCTAATGGAGACTTCCTGTTTGCTTTTTCCCCCGGTTTGTTTACAGCAGTGTTTCCCAATCCAGTCCTTGGGGACCCACAGACGGTCCGCATTTTTGCTCACTCTCAGCTTCCTGCCAGACAGTCCACGAGCTGGGAGGGAGCAAAAATGTGAACTGTCCTCTGGTCCCCAAGGACCGGATTGGGAAACACTGGTTTGCGATATTGCCTTGTGTTGTTCTTTCTCCTCCCCTTGGGGCGTCGTCAAAATGTTGTATTGATTTCTGTGTCCCGTCCTATATGTAAAAAGAAAGACACATTCTTCTTTTTCTTTAAAGCCATCAGAATATGGGATATTTAGACTGGGCTTGCAGTCAAGCCACTTGAGTCACACAATGTATTGTTAGAATAACACAGACATCACTGGGTCGTGCCGACTGCCTAAGCGGCGCTCCTTCATATCACACTTTTTCATTTGAATTCCCACTCACACAGAGGGCAGACAGCATGGATGCTGAGCTCGATAAGAACCATGTTATAACAACAATGCTGTGGCGGTGACAAGCAGATACATGCACACTGAGGCCTCCCCAGTTATTGGCTTTGTGGCTGCTGTTGTATCTGGTCTTGCTCAGATTCATACTCTGTTCAATCACAATATTCTTCTTCTGAGTTTCCCCGCTCATCTCTTTCATCATATTCAAGTTCCTATGCTCCAGGTCGTGCTATTGCCTTTCCCAGTTTCTGTTCACTGGCCAAATTCAGGGCAGACACGATGCAATAGACTGTATATGATTGCATTATGCACATTATTCTATTTATTCACATCATTTAGTATATTGTCTTGATTGTCCTTGATTGTTTTGCATGACACCTCAAAGTAAACTGCTTGTATGTTAGAGTACTTGGCAATAAATAAATGATTCTGATTCCAGTATTGCATATCGTAATATGTTGTAGTTTTGTATGGTGCACTCAGGCATTGTGAGACTGGCTGATGCTTTTGCTATAAGGAATAGATTTCGTAAAAGATGCCACTGATATTTCGGAGCTACAGAGTTTAGCACTGCGATACTTCACCCTTATTGCTTTATGTGGTCATCTACCTGTCAGTCAGTTTTCCAATTCAGACAGATTGTTAGTAGAGGAATCTGTCATGATGTACATGGTCCTAATCCACCTCCCAAGTGGCTGTGGAGGTTTGGACCAAAACTCCTAGCCAGCGACAGTGTAATATCGAGCATGTGTATTCTTAGGCAGTTCTGACATGTTTATATTACATTGACCACTAGGAATAATTAAGTGTAGCATTTTGCTGGCCTGAAAATGTGTGTGCATCTTTTTTTTCCTCTGAAGTTTTAAACACTTCATTTCACTTGCTGATGCTGTTATTGAAGATATTGCTATAAATAAATATGAGTAGGATAAAAGGAGAAAAATCAGCCCAAGCGCGGATCTCAAACCTCACTTGAACTTTCATTTGGGGGCTTGATGTACCTCCTAGCTGATTAGTCATCAGAACGTCAGCTTTTCTGCCCCTTTCATCCACCCCCCCTCCCAATCTCTGCTCTCCCCAGGCAGAGAACCTGCTCCTTGACAGCGACATGAACATCAAAATCGCCGACTTTGGCTTCAGCAATGAGTTCACGCTGGGCAATAAGCTGGACACCTTCTGCGGCAGCCCCCCCTACGCAGCCCCCGAGCTCTTCCAGGGCAAGAAGTACGACGGGCCCGAGGTGGACGTCTGGAGCCTGGGGGTCATCCTCTACACGCTGGTCAGCGGCTCGCTGCCTTTCGACGGCCAGAACCTCAAGGTGTGCGAGAACTCAGAGGAGAACATGCTCCTTTGGGGGCGTTGCTGCTTGCTTGCCTACAGCGTCCCCATCACACGTTCATCACCTCCTTTGCCTTGTGCCTCTCAGGAGCTGCGTGAGCGAGTCCTTCGGGGGAAATACAGGATCCCCTTCTACATGTCCACTGACTGCGAGAACCTGCTGAAAAAATTCCTCATCTTGAACCCCACCAAGCGGGGCAGCTTGGAGGTTAGCGGCTGGTGTTCGGTGACACGCTGGACACGTCTGCGAACACGAGCTTTCTGTTTGGCAGCATGGTTTTCGGTGTTATACTTCATTATTGCCTGCATCTTTCCTGCTGTATATTCCACCCCACAGCAGAATTAGAGGTAGCTGAAGCTCTGCTATGCTTAACACATGGTGCCGTCCGGCTGTGAGCCACCAGACCTCCATCCTCTTAGTCTGAAGCACCCTCAGCACCACTGATTGCCAGCTCTCTCTATCTCACACACACACATGCACACACAGATTAGGTATCTATATCTTTGTGGGGACTCTCTACTACTTTCTATGGACATAACCTTAATCCCAACAATGACGACCTTCACCCCTCCCCAGCCCTAACATTAACCATAAGTAACCAAGTAAAATACAAGACTTTTGGCATTTGTCGTTTTCCTATTTCAGTCGGTTATTTTAATATATAAACTTGAGTTTTCTCTTGGTGGGACCAAAGAAATGGTCCCTGTAAGGTCCCATTTTATTTAAAAAAAACAAATCTGTCCCCACAATGTAATATACTATATTACATATATATATATATACACACTGCTGTTTTATGTTCTTGCACCCTCTCCTCCTTCTGCTCTCTCGCCTGCTGCCTGTTTGGGTCCAGCAGCAGATCATGAAGGACCGGTGGATGAACGTGGGACACGAGGAAGAGGAGCTTAAGCCATATATAGAGCCAAAACCTGACTACAACGACCCCAGGCGGACAGGTCAGGGGCCGATGGATGTGTGGGAATCATTATTAACCTCTGTGAGGATAGAGCTGGTTATGGTCAATAGTCTAGTAGTACTCTTGGTTGCCAGTTTGATGTATTCACTGACCTGACACAGTAGATAAGGGGATTTAATTTGCCTGAATTCTCTATTTTTAAAACTTCTGTGTTAATACACAAGCCTACTGTGATTCCCTTACTTGACATTAGCGTGACTCAAAGTGACTCTCCTCATTTTTCCCCGGTAGACATCATGCTTCAGATGGGCTACTCTCAAGAAGAGATCCAGGACTCCCTTATCAACCAAACATACAATGACGTTATGGCTACGTACCTTTTGTTGGACTACAGGACCTCAGAGGTGCACATTGTACTGATACACGCCTAATGACTCACACTCTCAAGTCGTAATATGTCTGACTGCTGTGATAACGCTCACATCCCCTTGTCTGTTCCGTTCAGATGGACGAAGGTGCCAACGTGACAATAAAAGCCCGTCCAGTAAATGACCTCACGAAAAGTAATGTGCAGTCCCCTCCCCACAAGGTACAGCGCAGCGTCTCGTCCAACTCCAAGCCCCGAAGAACCACAGACCAGGGTAGGTAGTGTTAGTATTAAACATGACAGTATGACTCGTGCTGTCTAATGTCCAAACAAAGATTTATGCCCGGCTTCTCCTGCTAAAACTCAATGTTCTTTTTCTTAGGCTCCTCATCCTACTCCAAGCGCTCCCAGGGAGATGGTAAGCACACGACTGAGGATTCCACGAGGAAAACTTCCAGCGGCTCCACCAAAGTCCCCCCCAGCCCCCTGGCTCCGGGCGACCACACAAAAAGCCCCTCTAACCCCTCCACTGTGAGTACTAAAGGCCTTGTGAACACTCTGTGTAGGCAGCCCTCGCATCTCAGCAGTCATTCCACTGCACCAGGTTCCGAACATTTGGTACTAAAAAAAAAAATCAGTACTGCTTTTTTCCATTGATTTCCCGTCCAGTAACAAAGTACCAGACCAGCTGAGGTACTCATTTGGTACTTTGGGAAGGGACTTGCAAATATGTTTATTGTAGAATGATGAACTCAGAGAACAACGATAAAGTAAAAAAATATATATGTAATGTTAATGGATGCATAGACAAATGAAGAGACCCAAGCTTTCTTTAATTGCGATCTGATTGGAAGAAGGGCTCTGTGGTATTTTTCAAATATTGTGAAAAATTGTGGGATTGGGAGTTCAAAATAAATTAATTTCTCAGAAACCCATCTATGACAGATTTAAAGACCATCGATGAAAATGTCTGATTGATTCAGAGAGTGCATGCAGAGCTCGCGCAAAAGCAGTGATGGTAAACTTTAAACTGACTTTTTAAATATTTACTGAATAATCTTAAAAAGGAACAGTCATTAAAATTGCAAAGCTTGGGGGGTGCTAATGAGTAGGTCTTGGTTTGACGAGCTCTTTTTTGAGACTAAATTATTGTGCTCTCCACCCATTAAAAACTAACATATCTATATAAATATCTGAAGTATAACTGTATCAAGCTAATCTAGTCACAAGAATGGCGAGCAATTTGCGAAAAAGTAAATATGTAGGAGATCCAGGGCTAGCTCCCAGTTCACCTTGGGAAGGTGGTGATGATCCTGTTGGCGTGATGGAGCAATGCTCTTTTATATGGGGCTGAAGGCCTGCCTGCTTCTAATAGGTATCAGCGGGTGGGTGGTCTTTGTACCCAAATCGTTAACAGTACTGACCCTCTCTTCTATTTTCTTTTTTGTTTCCTTTATTTCCCTATTTTTACTTGCGTCAGTCTTTGTTCCAGACAAGCTCTTTTTACCATATTACCATATTTTTACCAGTTCTCGGAAAATTTCATATTCCTTATCTTTTAACCTGAAATATGGCTAATCCGTCCCCACAGTGTGACCCAAAAGGTTGCCCTTTCACCTTCATAAGTTGGAATGTTAAGTCATTAAATCACCCTGTTACGCATAACCAGGTATCCACCTACCTGAGGAGATTGAACATGGAGACGCATTTACAAACATCTGATAACGCTCGAACTAAAGGGGACTGGGTGGACTAGACATGTTATTCTGTTTACAATTGCAAAGCCAGAGGAACAGCTATTCTAATGATAAAAACATTCTGTTTGTTGCATCAAATGTGGAAGCAGATTTAATGGCTAATTTATTATTGTTGTAGGTAAACTGTATAACTTCCCAGTCATTTTGGCCATCATTTAAATCCAAATTATGATGACACCTTTTTTGTAAAAATATTAACTCAACTCCCAAACCTGGATACACCTTCTCTTGGTATGGGAGGAGACATGAACTGTGTTCTGTCCCCGGCCCTGGATCGCAGCTCACCTAGGCATATACCCACATCTAGGGCATCTGCCACAATTAATGTATTTCTGTGGACATATGACATTTCAGATGTGTGGCATTTTAGAAATCTCACATCTAGGGGTTGCTTGTTTTTTTTCTGCTGTCCATAAAATATACTCCCTTGTAGATTATTATTTTTATAGATGATAAACTTCTCCCATGGATAAGTAATTGTAATTATCAGGCCATAGTTCTCAGATCTATGACTTTACATATTCCCAAATTATACTTGACTTTCCTGCTGTTTTAATACATTACTCCTTTTGTACATGAGCTTTATTGATTTTATTTTGAGTGAAATTAGATAATTTCTTGAGATCAATCAAACGCCAGAAATGTCCTCTCTGGTAATGTGGGAATCACTGAAAGCCTATTTAAGGAGGCAGATTATATCATATAGTGCACAGCTTTATGAAAATTCACACGCATCGCCTTGAGAAATTAACAAATGAGATTTCTCAGTTGGATCCAGCTCTGGTTATTTCTCCATCTGTTGATCTAACTAAACAACGTGTCCTCCTACAAACAGAGCTTAATCCACTGGCTACAAGTCACGCTGAAAATCTTAACAAAATTCGCCATCAGACCTACGAGAGAGTGCTAGTCAGACCATCTCAGAGATGAATAATGGCTCCGGTACTAAGCACCTTGAACACTGTGTAGCCAACAAATGGTTCCAAAAGTTTTATTCCACATTATATACACCTCAGAATCCCCTAAGAACGCTTGTATGTTAGACATATGTTTGAGAATCTAGATTCCCCAAAACAGTGAAACGAGGAACGGCTTTGATAAACCAGTCACTGAAGGGGAAACCATAGCCGCGGTCAAGTCACTAATTCATATGAACTAATTCACCCATGAGCTCGCTCCCACCCCGTTAGTTTGGCTGCATCTGTGAAAGTCAGTTCTTTGCCCCCCCACTATATATGATATACTTTTATACCTGTCCAATCCTGTAATTAGTCTGCCAAAAGTTCTTAGCTTGTTAACTAACTTCAATAAGGTTTTGGGGTTTAGGGTTGATCTACAAAAAAAAGAATTTGTACCCATCAATTTGGCAGCTGTGAATGTTAACTTTCATCCACTCCCATTTGGGGCTGTACGATATCACATCACGACGTACTCCCCATTATGTGGTGCATGTGCAATAATCACCCGGGCTTTAGGTGACGGGCCAAACGTTTGTCCAGATACCAGCTTTTTGGTACTATACAGACATCTTCTTACACCCAAATTTTTCTTTTTTCTTTCTTTTTCTTTCCGTCCTTTTTTAGTTAGGATTTAAAAAGGGGAATGATATTTGCCTATTTTTTGTCTTGTCTTCATTCACTTGCTTTATTTATGAATCTGGGGAAAGTTATAGGAAGAACAGTTGAATGTTCATATTTTGCTGTTTGTACTAAAGACGAATAAAAAAAAAAAAACGAACATTGTACAAGAAATTGCAAAGCTTGCTAAGTTTTGTTGCCTATGACAGAGTAAAAATATTTTAGCGAAATTTAAACCCCCTACGCTATATAGCCTGGACAGTATGAGGATATTAAAAAGTCTGACCTCAACCCAGCTGGCGATCGCATTGCTTACAATGTGAGAACTGCATGTGTCTAACATACACAATATTATCCACGTTGTATCGCCCAGCCCTCTCTCACGTGATGAAATCATTCTGTGCCCGTGCCAGTTTTTCACGGCAGTGGAAAACCATCACAGGAAGTACCATTCACTTTGGTACTGTTTGGAAGTACCTAAAGTTTGGTACCTGGTGCAGTGGAAAAGCGCCCTTAGGGAATAGGAAACGGACTGACAGGGGAAACTAAATCATTCCATTTAACTAAGGATATTTAAAGGATTCTGTAATAATCCTTGGAATAATGAGTCTTTATCTAATAAGGGGGGGCAGCTTTCTGTCAGGGGTAGCCTCGGGTTTTGTACGTGGTGGCATTTCCTAAAGTAACCGGGCTCCCGCTGTCGTCCGAATGCGCTTGTCCTGACCCCGTGCCCACAAATTGTCTTACAGAACAACATCCTGTCCACTGGTACAAGCCGGAGCAGGAACTCCCCCCTCAGTGAGAGGGCCACTCTGGGACAAGGGGTACAGAACGGCAAGGACAGGTACCAGCCCTCCAGCAGCGTCGACTCCTCCGGCTTTATTTCTGCGTAGCGATTCTTGGCACTTTACCCCAGGTGGTTTAGGCTGGGTGGCAAATGGGTTCTTGCTGATCCTTCACACGCCCACTGACACGTCAACACGTCAGATTTGGGGGGGGGGGCGGCGGCATGTGCAGGGTTGGGATTCCTGCTTGTGGACAATGTGGTGCTGGTGATCTCCCGAACACGCCTTTGTTTTTACTGTAAGCACGCAAGGAGATATTTGTGCACAAGCCCGAACACTGTCTTGGCGTAGGGCATGTGTAGGAGGACTGAGTGGCAGCCTAAGCCAGCTCACTGAGCAGCAGTAGGGCACCTGAAGCATGCTTCCCGGTCCCTTGGGGCTCCTCCAGCTCGGTGCTCCTCCAGCTCGGTGCTCCTCCCTGCTTTTCCTTCTGCCTTTGGTTCTGCTGGTCGGTTCCTGCTCCACACGCGGTATCAAACGGGAGCTGCCTGCCCTCGCAGACTCTGACCCCGCAGACTCTGACCCCAGCTCTGCCGGGACACATGCTGACTCTGTGCCACGCTCACCCCGCACTTTCATCCACATCGCCCCTCTCTCTGCTTGTGAGACACACCCATGGCCACCTCCATGCTCCCTACTCATCCCCTTGCTATGGATGAACACTTTACTCCTGGGGGTCTGATTTTCAGCCACGAGTGCCATGTTGTGTGTCACGCTACTTTTAACAAACTTTTGGAAATGCATATAATTTACATATACATTTCCAGAAGGACATTTTGTGTGTGTTAATTCAGTTTCATTACTAGTTGATTACTTGAGAAAACCTGTCCTTGTTTTCTGCTTCTGATATTGTACCATTCCTGTTTTATTGTTGTGATTAACCTTTGTGAACGTTAACCAATATTGTGTGTGACATCATCTCTGTTCTAAAGGGATTAAACTAGCATTTGACGCAGATATGAACCGTTGAATTTAAGGTCTCTGCTTCCTGCAATAGGTGTCATATTTCTGTTCCTCATGGTGAGATTAAATATTTATTTATTCATTGCAGGCATGTTTAATCCCTTTAGAATGGTCGGTCGGTCTGTCTGTGCCTTGACTGTGCCTGACTGCGTGTGAGAATGAATTCAGGGCCAACAATACAGATATAACAGATGCTGTCATAGCAGGGATTGGGCAATAAAGGATGTAGAGATGACCACCTTACATGAGCTAAAATCTTAAGTGTATGTTAATTGTGAGTTATGTCCAGAATAGTTGCTGTCTTTGTTTTTAAAAGGTATTATAGATGTCCATAGGTGTCAAACTGCTCAGTAGAAGCTGCTGGTAACATCTATTAAATAATAATACATTTATATAGTGATTTTCAAGAAACCAAAGACACATAACAGGCAAAAGAGATCATAAAGTGACTGATATCAAACTAAATGCAGATACCTTGGCCTTATTGGCTGTTTAGCATGAATTCTGTATTTTAGGGGAAATAATATTTATTTAATGCATGATTAGCGCCACTCAAAGTAGCAAGAGTAGCAGCTTTTTTAAGACATTAAATCAGTCGATGAGTGGATATTAAAGAGCTGAGCCAAGTCAGTTTTAGAGTGGTTTAGAATGGTTGTATTTGTGTGTAGAATGCAGGAATGTGTCAGTGAAAGGAATAATTAACAATGAAAAAATATGCTAAAGAGAGAATGTCATACTGATTTTAAGTTGAAAATTTAGTTTATGGCTGGATCTGGTCAGTCAGTCAAGCTGGTTGGGGGAGCTGTTTTTGTGATCATACACCTGAAAGCAGAAGTCCAGGCCCAGTATGAGTGTGCATGAGTGTGTCTGCTTGTGCGCACGTGTTCACCTTTGCTCCACTGTTGTTCCCTGTGTGCTCTGTATGGCTTCTAACCTGTGGACCCCACACCCTCTGTGCCTCACCCATCTCATGGGAGGGGTGCCGCCGGGGATGTTGTTGGTTTTCTCCCCTCAGCCTGAACACCCCCGGGTCCCGCGCCTCCACCGCCTCAGCAGCTGCTGTCCTCACCTCCTCCTCTTCCTCCCGCTCCCGTCACCAAAAGTCCCTGTCCTCCTCTGCCCATCCCAGCCCCCTCGACTTCCACGCACAGCGCCCCAGGCAAGTGGCAGACGCGCAGGAGCGAGAGGAGCTCGCTGGGAGGCGGTACGCGGCCGGCAGAGGAGGCGCAGTCGGGGGCCGTGGCGGTTCTGCGCTCTCAGGGCCAACAGGAAGATGATCTCGTATTTCCCAGAAGTTAAACATTAAGCGGGAAGATGGTAGTTATGGGTGGAGTGGTGAAGCTGGACAAGAACAGCACAGATTAAGATGGGCTATCAAGGGCTGTTCCCTGACCCCTTTACCACTGTAGCCCATCCTATTTAAGCGCTTTTGCCCCAAAGTCGAACCCCTGAGTTTCGGACATCTCCGCGCGTCTAGCCTATTCAGCCAACATGCTGCTGATCGCTAACGGCAGCCCCGATTCACGGACCCCCCAGCACCCGGCAGTGCCCCAGCACCCGGCAGTGCCCCAGCACCCGGCAGTGCCCGCCGCTCCAGTTTCTGTACACTTCTCACCACCTATGGCTCTTGCCTCACAGCAGGGGAAGCACTGCTGAGCTTGGTTCTGGAGAGCCCAGTTCTTCCTGTGTGCGTTTGCCTTACTTTCTGCTTTGCCAGCTGTCACTCGGGGTGTGGCGCCATGAGTTACGGCATGTCGGCGAAGGGAATAGGAGACCAGCGGCAGGTCTGTTGGTACAAAGTCGTAGGAAATTAATACCTTGCCTGCCCACATCTTGCGATATCGTTTTTGGTGTTGAGCTAGTCCAAGTGGCGGCCAAAGGCAGCAGAGTGGTGGCAGCAGGACTTGTATTGTCATTTAATGTCCAACTTTAGTATTACATAAAGTGTCTTTGAAGTCTGTTAAGCAGCTGAATGTAAATATAATGAGTGCATCTCTGGATACAATTGAGTATACTTCTGTTTTCCCTTTTCCAAAGTATTGGAAAAGGCAGTTAAGATGGATCCCATTTTTAAATTACAATACCTAAACAGAGAAGCTACATATGTTAGAGCTATTAGGTGTGCTTGTGGGATAGTGCTTTAAGGCTGATCTGTTACATGCAGTGAACTTGGGCTCTTCAGAACCTGGTTGGGGACCCATGACAAAAGGTACTGTGGGCAGCATCGAGTCTGCTGACTGTGTGCAGCCGTGCAAGCGTCACATATGCGGGCAGGAGGTATATATGGCTAAATATGTGTACACACACTGGTGAGGAACAGGAACGGTGCAGTGCGGTGAAACATCGTTCCTGACATCTTCATTTTAGTCTTATTGTTATACAGTTTAGATCAGTGGTTCTCAACCTTTTTTGCACCGTGATCCAATTTTTACCAGGCCAGCTCAGTCACGACCGTATTTCAAGTATAGGTTTAAATTAGCGCTATGATCAAGCACACTGCACTCTGCAGTTTACGCCAATCAATGCCTGTAGCACAAATCTGATTTGATGCACCAGTGAATTTTAAATTAAGCATCTGCAGTTTTGGGCTTCTTGGATTGGTTGAGTGTTCACTTTTGCGCTAAGCATTTGCAGACCCATTTATATAGGTTAATTCCAGGATTGGGGCTAGGAAATCTGATCATAGATCAGCCTAGGAGCTTGCAGATCTTAAAATGCTTACATTTCCAGCTCTGCCTCGCGACCCTTTCTGAACTTGCCACAACCCGAAACTGGGTCACAACCCATGGGTTGAGAATCACTGGTTTAGATTCTCAGCGTATGTAATTCTGTAAAATGAGTGTGTGTGTATATATATATATTTGTATATCCCTCAGTACTCGTCATATGGTGTGGGCCGGAGTGCCCTGCCGTGCCATGCATGTGCGCCTTTTTAAAGAAGCGCTGTAGTGAAAGGGTCAACCGGAGCTTTGCTCCTCGTGGTGCGAAACATGAGGCTTCAAGACATAAGGCTGGCGGGACTGTGCGGTCAGTCACCTAATGATTTAATCCATCTCTCTTTAGTTACGGCACTGTTTCGCCTTCAGTAGCACCCGCATTGATTGGTAGTTCAGCATAATCCCTCCAACCACCATGAATTTTGAAACCTCATTTGTCCCGTCACTACTGTCACCATACTGTAATGGTGAACTCTTATAGGGACTAAAGAAAGCGATGCGTGCCATGTTGACTTCTCAGAGGAGGTCATCGCGCATCAATCAGATCCTCTTAGAATTTAATTGCCCCTTGCCCCTAATAACAGTGCCTGCCCTGGGTAACCATCGGTAACATGGGTGTTTCATATATCACCAGTGAAGTGTCACGCCCCTCTCATTGCCCATGTACGCTGACCATTCATAGTGCCGCTGCTGCTAGCATTAGCCATTGTCAGTGTTCTTGTCATTTATGCATTTATCATTTTAATCTGTTTTTCTAACAAAAATAGAAATAGTCTTCCTGTTAGTGTAGTGTAAGCTAAAACCTTGGATTCCTTTAAATCAGAGCTAGATAAGATTTTAACAACTCTGAGCTATCATTTGAGTTCTCCTCAAACGAGCTTGATGGGCCGAATAGCCTCCTCTCGTTTGTAAACTACTTATGTTCTTAAAATGGTATTTAAAATGTTACGGTTGAAAACAGTGTGCTTACAGTGTAGAGGAAATGTTGAATATTGATTTTATTACAGGGGCCAATAGAATGTTCTGGTCATATCGGGTCTGCGGGGCCTTGACGGTTCTGTTGTGTGTTTGTAAAATGAAGACCAGCTGGGTTCAAGCAATCCTACATGCAGCACAGGGCCTTCTTGAGCATGCTCCTGTGTTTGCTTTTTATAAATCTGCCTCTTTGAGTTGTTGAATTTTTGTTCCTCTTCAAACAATAATATTGTACCTGTGCTGTGGGTTCTTGGGATTCCTGGTGATGCTTGTCTGCTGTATCATAATTTTTCTTCAAAATATGTGCAGCACTGCTCCTCAAAGATATCCTGGGGTGTCTCCCTCGGCCCAAAATGTCAGCAGCGCCGGCGTGACGGACCGCACCAACTTCCCCAGAGGAGTGGCCAGCCGAAGCACTTTCCACGCTGGTCAGCAGAGGGCGACGAAGGACCAGCAGGCCTCGGCCTACAATGGCCCCCCTGCCTCCCCCTCCCTCTCACACGGGACAAGCCAGCCGCGGCGTCCCGGAGCAGCAGGCATCTTCAGCAAGTTCACTTCTAAGTTTGTGCGCAGGTAAGACTGTCACGGTGGTGGATGGTGCTCCGGTTACCTGTTTGTGGAATGTGGGGGGAAATGGTTCGGCGTTGGTGGAATTTGTTGGGTGAAGGGTGGTGGACGGGTAGGAGGTGGAAATAGTGATAGAGAGCCGATGAATGAAAGAGGCACGGGAGGAGGGATGCATTTAGAGAAGCTCACTGTTTAATCCCTTCCTCTCATCCCTCTTCAGTTTTCTGTTGTCTCTGGATTTCAGAAACATGTTTCAAACTAGTCTAGCAGCTTAGGCCTCTGCTTCTGGGTACTGCTCCTTGCTGAGGTTTGTCTCTTGGGGCTGGGATGTGAATTAGAGCTTAAAGGGAAATGGGTTGAGGTACAGCATTATGTGGGACCAAGGTGTGTGTGGCATGCTGTCCATGTTGGGGGAGGGTCCATGTTGGGGGAGGGTCCATGTTGGGGGAGGGTCCATGTGGGTGCTGCAGCAGGTGGTGGGTGGTGCTGGAGGCCAGGCGATGAGCTTCTGGAGTTTGAAGATCGGGAAGGTAAAGGTGTAGAAATGGGCAGTGATTCTCGCTTAAGCCTCATTTTGGGGAGCTGCGGTGTGACTCGCTCTGATCGCTGGGGACCATCCTGTCTGGCGATTTATGGTTTCCTAACAAAATCGAAAAGGCCGGCCTTCGCTTTCGTCAGTCATCTTTGACTTGTTCCTTTTTCATAAAACATTGGCTCGTTTTGGGTCCAAACAGCGAGAGCTGCTAGATTTTTTAAAAAATTTTTATTATTGTAGCCTTCCATGGCTAATTTGTGTTCCAAGAACTGTTATTGCAGTTTCACAAAACCTTTGGTTCTTAATTGAGGAGGAGAAATGAACATCTCTGGCTCCAAGTGTTGTATTTCTGCATCACATGGTTACTTGTGTGCATGTCAGCCCTGCCCAAGTCAGAATGAAAATGAGATTCTTGCTGCTGCATCAAAGTTTAAAAAAATCGGTAACAGGTAATTGGTGGTAAATTAAAACCTTTTTGTCAAAGACGGACAAGAGCTGTGAAAACCTTCAGGTCTGAAAGTTTTTATTCATTTCTGAAGTGCCAAAACAGAAATAAGCCAGCATTTATATAAATATTTTTTTTAAATAAATAAAAACACTGTCACACACAACTAACTCGCAGCTGTCTTGGGCAAGACCAGTGCTGGCTGAATTTTCTCTGGGCTGCATCAGGTTGTTAATCGCTAATTTAGCAACGTGTCCTTCACAGTCCAGAGTGACAGGTGAGACGCTGCTTCCCATGGATTTATTTCTGTGCGATAACCTGCAGTCACGCACACACACTAAAACAACCCTCCTATATGTCTGGGGACTTCACATTAACGGCTCGTCGTAATTAACCATCCTTAACTCCAAACTGCCAGCACTCTGCAAGTGATGGGGAGCGGGAAGTTTTTAAAGCTCTTTATTATTTTCTTGGGACATTGCCACACACTTTGGGTTTGAGGAAATTGTCCCTCTAGACAGCAGAGCTTCTCCACATCGCTGGGGCCTGGGTTCACACAAACGGGGGCTATGAATACATGTGGAGATGCTTTTTCTCTTGCTGTGGAGCAGGGGAGAGAGATGAGGATCCTGTAATACCCAGTGGCTCGCTTTGCGTACTTTTGATTAAAATACTGCTCTCTTCTGCTAATTAAAACACATGTTAAAATCTGCAGGGAGGCCCTGTGTCGTGTTGGGTTTAAGGCTCTCAGTATTTAATCACGGGAGCTCCATGCTGGGCACTGCTGATGACAGTGGCCATAATTCTACAGGTTTATAGAGCTCCGGCAGGTCCCTCAGGGAGATGAAACTCTCCTCTTCAAGGAATATTTGTGTCCCCTCTACTAGGTGTATTATGATAATTTCCTGTGCTGAGGTTCAGAACAGCTAATGAGGAATGTCCTTAGAACCAGAACAGCCTGAGGATGGGCCTGCAGGGTATATTTTAAAATGGGCCACTGGACGTTGGAGAGGAGCTTCTATAGAGGCTCTGGTTCTCCGTGGGTTGGAAGTTTCTGTACTCGTACACAAGGAGAACCGATGCTGCTGTTGTGACAGCTGTGTTACCACTCTGTTTCATCATGGTCGCAGCTCTGAGCTCTGATACATGCTATTAAAGTTGGAATCCTGGTGGTAGTGGTGGGGGGGGACAAAAAAAAATCTTCACTAAAAACCTCCACTTTGAAGACGCCTCCGTGGTGACAGTTACCATGGTTACCTCTGAGCTATCACTTTCCCTAGGACCAAAAATACATCAGCGGTGGATGGGGACACAGTGGCATATTGTTGCTCGTGCTGCTTGTGGGGCCTGTAGACACAACAGAGTGTGAGGACGGCCATAAGTGGTCCATTTCGGGGCTGTTTTCATGGTGTATGAGAACACCATTCCATCAAAAGTGCCACTTTGCCAGGTGTTTTTCATCGGCTCATCTTAGGGTAGCTATGGTCGTGTTCCTAAAACTAGCCTCTTCTTGGCTTTTATTTCATGCCCAGTATGACCTCTGCTCTGCCTCTGTGGTACACGGCATCTCCAAAACCAGATGTGGCCCCAGTTTCCCAAGTGAAACTAGTATTGGATAGTCCGTAGTATAGAAATGTCATTAAATAAATACTTAAATGTGCTTTAAACCCAAGGCAAAGTACAGACTGGGTTTACAGTGTGTTTTTTTTCATGGACTTCAGGAAACTGGGTTATTAAAGTGCAGATCTGATGCTGCTGGTCAGTCATGGAATAGAAAACCCATCGATCCCTTCAGAAGCATTTTTACTGGGAGGCTTGTGACCTCCTGTGTTACAGGCTGGGTAGAGGAATGACCTCATGGTCAGGGGCTGTCGAAACACACAACAGTTCGTATGGCTAAATGTATGTGTACAGAAGATCCTGTGTGTCATCTATTTCAAAGGATGTGAGGACATTAACACAACACATGATCCATTTCCCTGCAAGCGCCATCCGTCGTTCGGCTACCTTTCGCCCGCACACAGATGGGAATATCGTGAGCTTGTGTGCCCCCTTCAGTGCTGGGCCCCCTCAGCAGCCCGACACAGTTGTGGTTTTAAACACCGCATTCCAGCTGGTTACTGTACATTCCTGTATTACCATGTATACTTCCTGTGTTCTGCAGGGCATCACATATAGCAAGTTGGGCCAGAGAGCGCGAGAGAAGTACCTAAGAGTATATTCCCCCTAAGATGAACTTCTGCATAAATACATATATACTTGCTGCGTTGTTTGTGTGCACGTTTGTGTACATACATTCTTCTTTCTTTCTCCCCCCCTTTTTTTTTTTGTAGAAATCTCTCGTTCAGATTCCCCAGAAGGTAGGCAACGACCACGACCACGATCCCCTTCAGCTTTAATTTCTATATCTGGTGTTTCCATTTTTGCCTCCCTTGTCTTGAACCTTTTTTTTTTTTTTTTTGATCCTTTGTATTTATGGTCGTATTTCATTATTATTATGTATATTATGATCATTGTGTTTTGCCGTCGGTGTGACTTGTTTGGCCGGTACTAACGCCCCCGTCCGTCTGTCCGTCCGTCGCCATCTCGCCTGACTCACCCCCTGGCAGCCTTCTCTCCATAACGCCCATCCTCCTTTCTTCTCGCTCCATCTGTCGGTGGCCGTGGACCCTGCAGGTCACCTCTGTGTGGCCATGCGCCTCTCACAGTGCATGTAAACAGGAATGTGTCCTTCACCACCTCTGCTCATCCAGCTGCTCAGCTCCAGTACCTTCAGTAAGAAAGGATGCATGCTAACCAAGGTGGTGGTCCTCTCCGTTACAGATGGCCACTCTCTCTCAGGCGGTGTGACGGAGCAGCTCCTGGCTTAATTTTTACGGCCATCCTGTTGTTGCATGTCACACTAGGAGTGTGGTATTCTGAATCTTTTTTAATAAAATGTAAACGGCAGATGTTTGCAGATGCAGGTCTGTGGTGAGGTGACTGCAGGACAGTTAGTGGTCAGTGAGCAGATGGTTGGTGTGGAGCAGCCCTGGTCTTCTAAGTGGTCAGGAGGTGGAGACCGACCGAAGGGGCCCTAATACTCTGGCCTGCACTGGGACTTACACCATTTTCATGAACTAACATTCTCTGGTGGGAGGGCCTGCTGGACTAAACCCTTATACCCCAATGGACTGGTGTGCACCAGTTACTGGTGAATGAATGCAGTCTGAACAGGTACATGGACGTCGTGACTTGGGCTGGGCAGGTGGCTGCCCCATCCTGTGCGATTAGCAATCCGTCTTGGAGTGGGAGGTGGTTTGGGCGGGTGGGGGTTGCCACACAGCTGTGTTCTCAGTCCTGCCTGTCACCCAAGCTGCACGCCAACATGCTAAATAAAGGACTTGCCAGCAGACTGCAGTCTGGTCACGCTTCTCTGTCGGGGTGTGATAAATGTTATTATTTTTGCCTTAGCCCACATGTCGAATTCACCACCCAGAACCTGCCTCTTTCGCAATCACATCCACCTCCATACCTGTAGATTCCTTTTGAAATTAATCTTGGGTGATTTTCATTTTAATTTAATTTCTAGCTCACTACATCTTTTATCTTTAACTTTATTATTATTATTATTATTATTATTATTATTATTCAAGACTGATGGTATTGGTTTTAATATGTTCTCTCTAATAGGTCCGTCAGCAGTAGTTCATTTAAGTGCGCTCTTTTTTCCTTACGCACTAGAGGGCACTGTAGGGTTCATCGAGGCTGGGGAAGGATTTGTATGTCCTGAGAAATGTGCACCCTCTGGTGGTCACATAACTTAAATTTCAGTCATTAGGCTGAAATAATCCATCAAAAAGATCTTTCATTCAACTATAATTCATGATAGTGTCATTCAATACCGTCTCATCCATGACCGAATCTTTCCCAATGTTGTAATTCTGCTTGGATTTTTTTAATTCTTGTGGAGCAGGGGAGAATTCAGGTTTCAGCAGGTAGATGTAAGAATAGATGTGCACACACGTACATTTCAGCTGGATCTGGATGTCATTCTCATCAAGTTGCCTCTGAAGATCATTTGGAGGTTTGCTCGATGTGCTGTGTCAGGAATTGTCACGCCCCCCATCAGCCCAGGTCTCTCTCACCTCTGCACATGCTGTGCACCATTCGCTTCCCAGAGTTGTTCAAAAAGCGTGTGAACTTGTGGGAGGTATCAAGCTTTTTTAACATGTAAAATCAGGGTATACGGCGTGGGCATTGAGGGCAGCTTTAGTCTGCCCCGGTGTGTGTGTCCAGCTTATGGTGATGGTTTGGCCTTGGCTACGTCTGGCCCTTTGTTCCAGTTCTACATGTGTCACTTATCAGTGAGTGAGTTCTCTGTATATTTCCATTGACACAATGTCTGCCTCACTTTAATTAGACTCTGGGTGGGTGGGCGGGTGGGTGGGGGCCTGGTTCTGGAGGCCTTTCATGTGGGTCAGGATGGCTAAACAGATTACAGACACCGCCTGATAACGGTATTGAAGGCCTGCCTTTACAGTGGGATGATCTCATTAGTAATGTGAACAGTGTAGATGTGGAACTGCATGGGCCGGGGTAGCGGAGCGCTGGTGCATCGGGGTTGGTGGTGGAAGTGAATCAATAACTCAAGTGTCCAAAAAAACAGATCTGATGAGACTAAACTTGTGCCCCTTTTCTCCGAGGAGCCCGTATGAGGGAGAGGGTCATGATGAGGGCAGCAGGTGAGCCATGCCACGTGATTTAATCAGCTACCATGTAGTCCTCAGTTGGATGCCTTGATTAGGCTGAAAGTTGATTGGCCTATTAATCAACCAATGTGTGATCATCACTGTTAAACAAATGCAAAAAAAAAAAAACAATAGAATTCTATTGTGTGAATCATTTGATTGGTTGATATATTGCTTTTGTAAGTTTTTTTTTTATTAACTCAAGATGACAAAGACGATGTATTTTTTAACACGGTATTGTCCTTTTTTACTATATTTGTAAACCTGCTGAGTTGTAAGGTTCATATGGATGTAGTTTGCCTTCCCGTTTGTCGCTTCCTTTTGCTTTTGGTGTTGTGGGTCTTTGATCTATATTGCAGCAACTTAAAAAAGGTATGGATTTATGGTGATTCGGGTCACCTTTATCAGTATCTTTACTTGATAATTATTGCATTGTATTGCTTGAAGTTCTTCCAACAAAACAATCTAAAATGATACTCTAAAGTAACTGAGCACTGGCCAATAGTTTTAATATTAAAAAGTTAATAGTGTAATTAATGACTTAAGATGTGTGTTATAGAACCATTTTTTACATTCTGTAAGTAGGCTCTATAAAACATATGTTTAGCTCCTTGGCAGGAACATAGTTTTGTTATTGAACTACACAAGCTTGTTCTTTTACAAAAATATTAGTGGTGTGTGTAAGTCAGTAGAAAATAGCATCTTTTTCAGTTTGCTGTTCATGATGTTTATATCTTTAGTCGTGCATTTTTCCCCCAGTTTTTTTTTCTTCCCTATCTGCCATGGCCAGTTATTTGCCACAGGTCTCCACCTCAACACACAGCACCCATGTTGACGTGCGAGTGGGGGACACTAGAGCACACGGCCTCAGATGCACGTGTGTGCTGTCAGTTTTCATTGTGCGACGTCACACACGGGACAGAGCACTAGCCGCTTGGTTCCGCCTTTGGGTGACTGTAGACACTGCCGCACTGCTGTGAGAGGGAGGGGAATCCAGCTGTTTGACGCCTGGGGCCTGGGGCCTGGGGCCTGGGGCCTGGGGCCTGGGGCCTGGCCACCTGCGAGGGCTGATGAGCAGTCTGACCCAGATCACAGATGTAGAGCAAACTGTAGAATGCCCTAGTAAATCATCAGAGTATTATTGATGAGAGGGCTTTGTTTTGAATAGGATTTCAATTGGAGGAAAAAAAAATTTTTTGGGAGTATTTAGAGGAAAAAAAGTCATGTTGGTAACCATCATCTGTTTGGGATCCATCTAGAATGGAGGCTGTAGTGTCCCTTTACGCTTGCCAGCATTGCACCCTCAGCATCCTAATTATTTGCTTGCCTGCTATCCACAAGCGTAAATAAAGCTCTGCAGAATCAGTCTGAGCAGTGAGCCCTGCTGCAGCATGCTTAACACTGTTCCCTGTGGCTCCTGCATGCTCTAACCACACCTCGCATGACCATCGCTCTCCTGTGCCGTAGCTGAGCCGTCAAGGCCTTTGCACAAGGCCGTCTCAGCTTAATTCTCTCTGCCAGATGTCTGGGTCTGCAGTGCGGACGCAGACTGTAAATTTGTTTTCTTTTCGATTTGCGCTCAAGCAAGCATCCTAAGGAAGCATCTAAAGGAGGAGATCTTGTGCTCCCTCAGCAGAGGCTGACCATGTTTTTGCTTCAGTTGTGAAATGTAATCTTGAAGGGATTTTCTAGAGAATGTGTTTTTTTTTTTTTTGGAGAAGTGTTTGGCTGGTTAAGCCAAACTGATGCCCTTTGTAGTTTTTGGATCCTGTTTTGATGATCTGCTCATCTGCAGTATTCTGCAGCAGTTACTGTGTCTGCATTTTCAGAGGGTACGCAGTTTCATCTGGAGCAGAAACCTCTACATCTTAGTCCTTACATTCATACACCCCCCATACTGTCCCCATTCAATCAGCTCTCTCCACCCACCACTTCTCTTAAATCGTTCATTCTGCTGATGCTAATTATGCTCCTCTCTCCTTTTTGTATGCCACTTATTTGCCATCTTTTATGTATTTTCTTTGTGTTTGCCCTCGTGATCTTTCTCGCTTGTGTTTGATCTCTACCCTCTGTGCTCACCTCTTCAGGCCAATGCTGAGCACCACAGGAGACAAGAGTGAGAAGGTCCCAGGTGGCACTGTGGGCTCCATGGGAGACGAGAACAAGGACTCACTGTCCTCCTCGCCGGTCCCCAGTGGCACACCACCCTCTAGGGACTCCAAACCCCGGTCACTGAGATTCACCTGGAGCATGAAGACCACATCTTCTATGGAGCCCGGCGAGATGATGAAGGAGATTCGCAAGGTGCTGGACTCCAACAACTGCGAGTACGAGCTGCGGGAGCGCTTCATGCTGCTGTGCCTGTCAGGCGACCCGTCGCGGGATGACTTTGTGCAGTGGGAGATGGAGGTCTGCAAGCTGCCGCGCCTCTCGCTCAATGGCGTGCGCTTCAAGCGCATCTCCGGCACCTCCATCGCGTTCAAGAACATCGCCTCCAAGGTTGCCAACGAGCTGAAACTGTAATCGTTCTCATGGGCGCAACATAACCAGAGATGTGTCAAGTTTGACGACGACAACGTCGCGGAATCGAGGTTCTATTTGAGATGGAGACGACCCAGGAGAAGAAAACTAAGGCCTAGAAATGGCTTTGGCCTCTAAGGGACACATGTAGACTGCGCACCAGGAGCAGATCATCGGACTTGCAGGGCTGTGATTGTCATAGAGGCTACATGTTGGGGGCTTAGATTTTTCAAGTGTTAAGTCATTTGACTCCTCCTCCCTCCCAGTTAACCTCCGTCCTTAGATCGTGTTTTTTTTTTTTTTTAATGTATTTTTTATCTCCAAATTCATGAAAATGTATGACCATTTTTTTTTTGGCCTGCTGTTTGTTTTTTTTTTTTTTTTAAAGTCTCATACCTCTTTGTAGAGGACAGGGGCAAGGGAATGGTTGGCGGTACCTGGAACGTCAGATGTACTGTGAGTCTCTTGGCCTCAAACCAGTTTGTTTCAGTTCAGTGCAAAATGGTGACCCATCTCCAAGCAGAAGCAACAGTAAAGCAACAAACTCCCTGGCTTCCTGAGTGTACAGCACAACCGTGTGGTACCCTGAGGGCAGCCCTCCCGTGGGCAAACCTGTCCACACCTGCTGTCTTAACACTAGAGTTCCATCCACTTCACTCCTTTTCTTCAGCCAGTTACATTTCTACTGCAGGGGTCAATTATGAGATGAACTGAACAAGGGCCAATTATGTAAAAATGGATGGATTGTACTTGTAACTGAGTTGCTGCTTGGTTTCAAGTTCTGCACTGGAATGAATCTGTTGTTACTTTTCTGAAGAAAAAATAATTACTATAAGCAAGCTGAATGATCTTTTGTTTTGTGTTTGTTCAATTGTATCTCGTCGTTGTATAGAGAATGTAAACGGAACACGAGACTCCATCATGCCTCCCTCCAAGCCACCCGGAAAGAAAGTATAAATTCTATCTATAAATATATAAATATCTACAAATCTATATATCACTGAAAAGGAAATTATTTAGTTTGTGTCATTTTAATTTGTGCATTTGAGAATGTGACTTGAACCATTGTTTTCCCTCTCAAAACACCCCCCACCCGCCTGACTGACGAAGAGGAAAAATGGAGAAAGTCCAAGAGAGAAACTGTCCAACCATAACTCCGCCCCCCTGCGGCACAGGGGTAAAAAGACTAGGGTTGTGGCAGTTTCATACCTTATCACAAATATTGTTGCATTATTTTATTACTATCACTGTCGTTTTGACTGGAGGATTTACTATGATGCATGGGGGTGATCCTGCTGTTTCTGTATTTACAACCAAATGGCCGTTTGCCTCAAACATCTTTCTCACAGTAATTCTGTATGTAATTTTTGGGTGGGGGGGTGGGGGGGCGTTCTTTAAAGTTAATTATCTTAATTGACTACTGCTCATTTTCGTCTTGGTTTAGTGTATTATTCCTTTTTTGGTGTTTTTGTTCTTTATAAAGATATTTTTAGCACAGTAAAGGAGCTACACTGGTTTATTTAAGTTTGGCGGTATCAGGTATAGATCCTGACGTGAGAGTAGCTGTGTTAAACAGGACAGTGGGTCAGGTTGTGTGTGTGTGTGTGGTGGATGTAACCCCCCCCCCCCTCCATCCCAGCAGGCCGTGTCCTCCTGTGCCGTCACCAGTACACAAGACATGATTGATAGATGAGTGGTGACTGAAGTAATTGAATTACCAAAGGACTAAACTGTCAGTTCCCCATTGATTGTAATGCCTTGTGCTCTACCTACTGGATTTGTTATGAGTTGTGAAATTTGTCTGCGAGTGACTTCGGAGTCAGTGCTGAGTCACTGCAGAAGCTGGTGTCCAGGTCTGGACTGCGGTGTGGGAAGGATGGGCGTCTCCTATCGTAGTTATGCCTGTGGATGAGCACCTTTTGGTCCTTGTTCCCTTTTGCACCGCAGTACTGTAAGTAATTGTCTTGTAAAAAAAAAAAAAATGTAAAAAAAATCTGCAAAATCCCATCCTATGTATACTGTTAGCTCTTCTCCATCGTATCCAGTGCTGCATTAATTTCAATAGCAGGAGGGGTTTAGCCAGTTTGAGTGTGAACGTACAAGCTTCATACATGCCTGCTTAGACTGAGTGTGAGATGTACTGTGCCGATTTGCGTCATTAATGGTTATTGCAGAAAGGAGCCCCTGCTGTGTGTGGATCAACTGGCTCACCACAGTCAGGCACCGAGGCTTTCTGCAGTTCCACTTCCCTCTGCTCGGAGCGTGTGACCATTTCGGGTCCTGTTTGGAACCACCTTTTCCAGTTCATTCAAATTCAGCTCCTGTTTGCAGATTCCTCATCCTTTGGTATCAATTTCCAAGGGTGACGGAGTTTGAGGCGTGATTGCCGTGTCACTGGGCCATAAAAAAAGATAGCGTGTGAGACGGAGGTGCGTAGCGAAGCGGGGGCACGATCTGTGCGTTTCCAGCCACTCTGAAGCTCTCCCAGTTGGCCGCTGTAGAGTTTTATCCTTACCCATGATCAAAATTACAGCTGATGAATACGGATGTGTGTATCGTGCACTTGGTGCGAATTGTGTAGTGTCTCCCCACTGCTGTGCAATGGGACTGTGGCACCCCCTCATCAGCAGCCTCTCCAGTACCGTCTGGGTTCGGGGCTCCAACAATACAGGAAGGCAATGTTAAAAAGAAGGTGCAGAGGCAGAAAAGGGTGGACGGTCTTAAATGCAAATGTGAACTGCTTCGGAGAACACCTGTGCACATCTGTATATTTTTTTCCTGAGATTTTGTTTTTAATAAAACTTTTTCTTTCCAGATGATTTTGTTCAAGGTGCTGGGAATCCTATCTTTTTTCAGGGTTGATTTTGTCACATTTTTTTCCATTGCTGTAATTTACATTTTTTTGTGTCACAAACTGCACAATTGGTGTGGCCAGGGTGGGACAATGTATTGTTTTTTTGTGAGGAAAATAATTCAATGATAGTAATAAACAAATGGCATTAAAACGAAACTGGTGTTCGGCATGTTTGCTAAAGATTAATTGAACAAAATGACCTATCAGATTAAACGGAGGGGCCTGGGCAAGCAGCCAGTTCATTAATCAGTACCATTTCTCTCTCTCCAGCAGTGGATTTTAAGCCACAGTTCCCCCACCCCCAGTCAGACTACCAGCAGCACAACTGATCCAGGTAATTAAGTATTTACATAGCATTGTGATTTAGGTTTGCAGTTAGGGGAATAGGATGTAATTCTCCATGTGTCACAAACAGAATGGAGAACATGAACTCTGCTTGTAGATGGGATCACTGGCAGCATGTCGGTATCGGTAACCGAGACCTCTGTCAGAAGTTTACATTTTACCAGGTCCTTCAGTGTGCATTACTTTCCAACCACAACAATGCAAATTTACCTTTATTCTATATATAAAAAAGTCACAAGCAATTCCAGTCTAACATGTATACAATTCACATACACACCTTCACAAAAATGTAAAAAGGTAACTAATGCTGTATGCTTACTGCGATTCCTCACATCAGTGTTTGACAGCAGAAGTGTTTGTGCATGATTGCAAGTTTAGTGTGTCAGTGTTTGGATCAAGTATTAGAGTAGTGCTTTTCTTTATTCCTACACTATCTAAAAAGGTAGAGAATGTTTCTAATGCCTTTCCCCCCAGTGTACTGGGAACAGCACAGAGCTACTTAATGTTTATCTAGATGAAACTGATCCTCCTTTCCTTTCACTTTGATTAACATCCCAACATTCACAGTGCTCCTCCGTCTCAGGAAACCTGCCCGCGGAAGGGTCCTGATGTTGCCATGGCAACAAGCTGAGGCCAATCCTGCCTTTTACAATCCAGTGTATATTTTTGTTTTAAGGTTTTTGGTTATTTTCACAGCAACAGGACAGTTAACGGAACCTGTGTGAACATATGGCCGCCTTGGGGGTAAAAAAAAAAAAAAAAAGTGGGTGTGTTCCATTTGCCCCAGGGAGCAGTAACAGAACTCTTAGCCGGGCCTGCAGCTATAGTTTGTCTTCATTGGGGGGGCAGCGGTTTGGAAGGAATTATGTGGTGCAGATCCTGGATGGCTGTGTTGTCCATGTGGGGGAAGAGGTAGAGGGATGAGTACGCACTAGTTACCATAAGACCAATGTGTGTGATGGTCTTCTGTCACTCAAAATGCCCATCTCTATAATGGCCCTGTGTAAACCTCCCCCTTCCCCCCCCTCCCCGTCAGTGAGAGTGTGACGGTTCTACTTTTAGTCCCACCAAGGAGGGTGGTATCTGGGTAATCATGGAGGGAGATGAACTGATGTTAGCGTTTCGGTGGAGGGTGGAATTGATGGCAGGCCGAATGAGGGGTGGAGGGGGGTGGTTGTGAGGGGTGCGGGTTTGCAGGGGGCGAGTCTGCAGGGGTGGGGGCTGGCGGAGTAAGCTAGGAGTGGCTGGTGGAGGCCCGGGGCGCAGCAACGGGGGTGGTTGAGATAGAGGAGGTGGAGTTTGGTTGGAGTGTGAGTTAGTGTTGGTACTGCTGCCCAGGGATGGAGGAGAAGGAAGGAGAGCGCCACTGATCTGCACCTGAGAGGAGAACAGGAGGCGCATCACTCGTTATCCTATCAGCCAGTGTCAGCGTGCTGCACTGGAACAAGGCATCCACTAAACATCTTTCACAGCTTTTAATCTTTCACATAAAAAAACGAAACCAACACTAAATATTTGGCCACACGGCTCAAAACAGCCCAGAAAGCTACTAAAAATAATCCCATTCTTCCTCCTGCCCGCCTCACCTCCTCATCCTCAGTGCTCCCCGACACCCCTCCTCCTGCCACTGCCGCTCCCTTGGCCTCCTCGGTGGTCCCGGCCTGCACCTCCTGCTCCGCCTGCCACTCCCGCAGCACCTCGTCCAGATTGAAACGACGCCGGTAGCTGGCGAAGAAGGAGCTCACCTGGGACGCCGTCTTGTTCCCGATGACCTCGGCGATGGCTGCCAGGTCTTTGCCATAACGCCTGATAGCTGTGGACGGGCAGAATCACACTGTCTGCGTCCTCCGCTGGCAGAGCTCATTCCGCCACCTCAGTCTTGTTCATTTGCCACCCCGCTACGCCTCCCCCACATCTGTAGGCAGAGAGCCTTACCCTGCACAGCCAGCAGCTGCTCCTCCGTGGCCCAGCGGGAGTTTATCTTGGGGGTTGGCTGCAGACAGAGGAAGCCTGTAAGATGGTGCCTGGTCTGCCTCAGCTACTCTATAGTAACGCACCCCTTTTCACTCTGCTTCTGGGGAGTGCCGGGTACCTCGGATGGCCGCATGGCGTCGATTCCTCCTTCCAGTTCTTGCTTGAGGCTGCTGTTAACCTGCTTGATGCTCTGCACCTGAGAACCAGTGGGGGGGTTGCGTGTCAATAAAGTTAATCCTTTGTCCACGATATACATCAGAAAGAGGCAGGCAGACAGAATGACAGAAGCTGGTGAAATAAAGAATCATACAAAATAAGCAACTTTTGTGTGTGGCTTCTCTGTCCACCACAGCCAGGGTCAACTTTCAGCCTGGCTATGACCCCCCCCCCCCGCGTCCACAGGACGACGACACTACCTGTCTCTTTAAAGACACCAGCTGCATGTCCAGCTGCCTGAGGGACACGGTCCCTGTCTCAGGGGATGCAGACAAGGATGAGATGTCCTGCTGGATCAGGTGCATTCCCTTTGGGGGGCGTCGACGAGCCCGGAGAGGATGATGTCGGTACTGTGACCCCTGGTTCTCCTTTCTAACTGGACCACACCTTCCAGAACTCCCCTTTTCCCCTCCCCCTCCACTGCTGGTACTCTGCTTCGGAACCTGGACAAAGAAATACCCACAACACGCCCCCCCCCCCGAAATCAGCATTTCTGAAGTCATGAGCAGCAGGTGATGAAAAAGCTTTTCAAAAGCTTTATATGTCAGTTAGTGTACAAGCACAGAGCACAACTAATGTGAAACAAAACAGTACCTCTTTTTTAGTGTCCACTTCAAAGTCACTGTCACTCCCAGCATCTCCTCCTTCCATCTCATCATTACTGAAAGACAACACAACTGGGCGAATGTACCTCCCATTTTTGCTAAATGTGCCCCCACCTCTGCTCCGGCGGCCAGTGTCCCGCTGGCTCACCTGTCGTCCTTCTCCCTCTTGCTCACCAGTCTCCGGGCCTGTCTGTCCATCACACTGGTGCGGGTCCGTGTTTTCTTCCAAGAGTAATAGTACTTCACTAAGCTTGTGATCAGCTTGTCCGGCAGCTGGAATCCAGTGACAAAGACAGTGTGATCCTGCCAGCCCAGATATTAAGCCCTGCTTTAAATCACCAAAGGCAGTAATATTTTAGACTGTTTGGCAGGGAGCCGGGAGGGAGCAAAAGTGTGGACCGTCTGTGGGTCCCCAAGGACCGGGATGAGAAACACTGATCTAATGTATTAATATTATTTATGGAAGCTAGACTTTGGATGTAGATCACGTTTTAGGGAGTGGGATTCAGATTCATTCATCGCTCTGCTCCTCACCATCTGCTGGATTCGGTGGAAGCTCTTGCCGTGGAAGCTGAAGGCCTGCTCGAACAGCACCTTGTCCTCCACTGTCCACTCCTCTGGGAAGGGCGTGAAGTTAGCCAGGTCAGCCAGGGACTTCTCCACATCATGCTTGTGCCAAAGCAGCATTCCCAAGGCCTGAGCTCAAGGAGAAGGACATTTATTATAACGATAAAAGGCGAGTCTCATTCCTGCAGCGGCTTCACCAACTTTGGCCACCATTTGATATTTAGCATTAGCATGAACACACTACCCTGTAAGCAGCTGCAAGACAGATGGATGAGCAAGCTATTGCTTTTTCCATCAATGTGGATCAATGCATGTGGTAGTATATACTGTATATATTGTAAACATGAACGGCACAATCTATATGCCCAATACCCTGAACTGTTGTATTCAAGCCATACGACCAACAGTAAGTTTATCGGTACAGTCCAGTTCAGATGATGCTGGTTCTAATGCTTGCAGTGGAAAAAGAACAACAAATCAGGCTTTTCCAGCCCACTTTCCAGCCTGGTCCCGTATTATTTTGGCTCGGCATAATAGTGAAATGACAGCTTAAGATCTGCCAATAGATCATGTCTGGTTTATATGATGAGCAATACATCAGTGCAGACATTTTTATGAAACAGGTCTTTTAAAAGGCACCCCCCTCATCCCTCATCGCTTTACTGCTGTGATTTTTGGTTCTCAAGGATAACACATGAGCACCTTGCATGTCCGCCCATAACTCACTGGGCACATGAACACCTAGTTCTAATCCTTCGAAGACCTTTAGCCATTCATAACAATCAACAATGCAGTTGGCTCAGGGACCCCCCCCAAACATGTGGACACAGTCATTTACTGCGACCTGCACATGACTCTATCTAGGGACATCTAGGGTGCAACATGTAGCATCACTTCAGCAGAAGGTAGATTATCAGGAAAACGTACCTGTTCCATGTTGTATCCATGTCTCTCCTTCGCCATCAGAATATATTCATCCACTGAGGGAAAAAAACATGATTTTGAGTGTCATTGCACAGCATGCTAACTGATGTTTAAGTCTTTCTCATAAGAAGTCCTTGTAGTGAGGTGGGACAGTTCTTACACTTTGCATCAGATACCATAGTGCTGGGCGACCAGACCAGCATGCTCCTCTGATCCTTTTCACTGAAGCGAGCAGGACTGTCTGTGAACACAGATCCCTCCTTTTTACATTCCATCATCAAATGAAAGCACAGTTATGCTACCTTAAAACAAATAAACGTAACACTGTGTCACAAACCATCTCAAAGACGGCACTAACCTGTATCTGTTTCACCATTACACTTTGTTGCACTAACCCACCCCCCTGCGCTCCACTCAAAGAGATCGTTACCAGGTTTGAATTCTGGAATCTGAGCTTGATAGTCCCCTCCAACTCGAATCATGCTGTCTGTGGAGACAGAATCAGTGGGCAATGAGCACTGTGTCTACAGCCAGAAAAAGTCAGAGAAAACCACAAATGGGTTAAAAAAAACAGGGAGAGAAATGCTTATAATGAACAAAGTGGAGAAGAATGATAGAAAAATGATAGATGAGTCCTACATAATTGTGAGTGCACAAACAAAGACATCAGCTTAATAGAAACAATTCAGCAAATCTGTGGTACAAATTTGGTACTTTAGTGTGGCAATGTATCAATTCGTATTGCTGTATAGAATTACACATGTGCAGAAAGTTGAGAAGCATGATTAACTTCCCTCAGATCCTGAACACCACCTCCACTATGAATCTAGCCAGAAAGTCTGCTTGACTCTTCAGGCATTTTCACATTGTCATTTGATACAATGGAAACTTTCTGCCGACTCAAGATTCTACATGACAGTTAAACCTACAGAATGAAATGCTATGAGGTATAGATACAAACAGTAAGTGTGGTGTAGTGAGGTGTAAAACATGTATAGTAAACACAAAGTAGATGATGCAACTATTGTGTAATTTTACAGTCAGATGAGCACCAATCAAACATTCTGTATGATGTCATATGCATAAAAACAACAAAAGCATGCAAAGCCTACAGTACCTGTGTTGTGCCAAAAATAAGAATGGCACAGTAAAAGTAGTATAAATAAATGCTGAAATGACTGTAGATGTTTGGTAGTATCAGGCAAAAAGGCAACAGCTGACTGGTGGGACAGTGATGAAAAGCAAGCCGTGCTTGCAGCCCCATGTGAAGATATAAGGTATGGAACCAAACCGTGTGCGTGCTCCTCGTCACTGCTCTCCTCCTCAGAATGCTGGCTGTTGCCATTGGTAACATTCTTAGCCCTGCTTCGGGACAGAACACCTGACCCAGTCTTCTCCATTACTGACGGCATGGCTTCCTGACACCAACACAAAGACAGACATCATTACATTAGACATCCTGTATGTGATTCATACACACGTCCACAACTATCGGCGCTGCACATTCTTTCTGCTAAATTTGTAGGGCTCCTGAAACAATAGTGACTCAAAGTTTGTACTACACTGTCTGATCATACTTAAAGTATGTAAAGGCGAAAGCCCATGACGAAAACACTGTGCCTATCAAGACTACAGCTGCCTAACAAACACTGTACTGTAGCAATATTTACTACAAACCAATCACTTATAACCGACATAACATCACGCGTTGCACAATGCAGCCGTGTTTCACATTTCATTCACTCATCTGCATCAGATACTTTTAATACCTTTGTGTGTGATATTTGCCTTTTTGAGACGGAAAGCAAATCCCTAGTGTACAAATTACACATTTCCCCAGGGCACCCTCGTGGGAGACAGTGGTTATGCGCATGTGTATTTGCAGGTTATCGGTAAACGTAAAAGGTTTTAAACATTCGCTTCAGTGGCCCGGACCAGAAGACACAGAAAGGTGGTGTTAGCCAACAACACGTGGGATACGTGCACAAGCCAACTTTTCCTAGTACTGGCTCCCCTTCAGAATAGATTCACTGATCATTAGCTGAAACACGACTCAAATGCGTGTCCGACGACAAATCCATGATCTTGAGCAAAATTATACGCTGTAACCTCGTGCTTTGACTGGCTCTTGTTCCAACGTCATAACATCGTTTGGACGTTACCGTCTGATGGCTTTAACTACTGATCTAATTCATTCTACTCCAGACACTGAAATCCATCCTATAAATGAGTGCTTATCCACACCTTTAACAGCCAAACTGTCTTACATTTTTTAAATTTATATATAAACACACGAACCCCGATAAAGATACGTGGGTAGCGGTCTATACATTGTTACGAGATCACTTATTTTAACTCCGTTTTATTTGTTTACGCTCAATATTAATTTGTTCGTAAAAGTTGTGTCACACGCAGCCCCCCGCTCTCTCCTATCGGCTGCGATCCGACTTTATTCGCCGATCCATGCGGGGGGGGGGGGGCGACATGCCGTTAAAAGGGGATCCTGTTCGCATCCCAACACTTGTGCTGCCTCAATCAAGTCCGGGCGCCCCCTTCAACCCAAATTCTACCTTGCTCTCATCTACTCTACGTTTCGCTTCTTGCAATTAACACTTTTATTTCCCTTTTTCGTCCTTATGTATTATTCTGTGAAATTCCATAAAACACAACAAAATTATTTAGAAGGATCAAACGAGCCAACGTGGGTCTGGACCGGCCCGGCAGTTAAATAAATATATAAATAAACTGCCAGATGGATAAATAGTTAATTAATAAATAGAAAAAAAATCACCTTTCCTTAACGATGCCTCTCCTTTATGTCTTCGTCCAGTGGCAACCTGTAAAGTTTATATTCTTTTGTTTTACCCGTAAGTCCAATTCTCTTTATTACAATTTGCGTTGTAGCCAGCTAGCTAGTTAGTAGCTCCCTAGCAAGCAAGCTGGCTATTTTATTTAAAACTTGGCTATACCAGTAATCGTACTTGTTTCACGAGAACACAAAGCGAGCTACCATTCAATTTTAAAACATGAAGTACATACAGTTACAAACTAAATTTCTCACACACACCTCCCATACTCATACAATGAAATCGGTTGTATAGTTTGTGTCTATGTATGTGTGCCGGGTAGCCTCAGCACTCCCACTTTCATACATTAAATCCGCCCCCACCGCCTGATTGCCTCAACTAACTTCGATGTCAAAAAAGTAGTCCCTCATAGCAGAATCCATACGGCTTCATTTATCTTTATGGGATCCGTAGTAGTTGCATTTATTTTAAACATGGGTATTTTGTCTACAGTTGTGCTTCTATATTAATCTGTGGCAAATTCCATGTACTTGTTTCCCGAACAGACATTTAACATGCATCGTGGGTAGGGCTCCATAACGGACTGAAGCGTTTGAACAGTAATTGAATACCAGTATGGCAAACATTCGTGGGAAATTAGAAGTTGAGTGCAGGGAGTAAAATTAGAAGCTTTCCCCGGCTGGGAGCTACTTCCCTATGAGGATGCGAAGGGATTTATCAGCTGCCCGTAGCGGTGATGAGGTCATGCACACTTGCGATGATATATGAAAGGAAAAAGAGGCAATCAAAGTAGTTACATTGCCCGATGTCTGCGGAATTACTGCTATATCAGTTTTACCCTTTACATGCTTCACCAGTTCATTTACACGCAATGAAGACTATAAAATGTAACGAATTGGAATAGTTGCATGTGAAACGGCGTATGTGTTAAAGAAAAAACCAAAGTATTACACATACACTGTAACCAACGATTTATGTATATTTCAGTGATTTGGGCTAATAAACGTGCGACTAAACTAGAAAGTCACGTAGATCCAAGCACGTCATATATTTTAGCATTCTGTGTATATGACGATTAGTTGCTTAAAAAAACGGAAAGACCCGGGTATTAGGGTAACCTCCTTTAATTTCGTAATTGATATATATATATTTCTACCTTGGTACCTCCCACCTCCCCGCAGTCATTGTCTGTGCTGCGTTGCGCATCCATCCTCACGCAGCTTCTTCCCCCCTTGCCTTCCTCCTCCTCTCTGACTCCGCTCCCTTTCCACCTTCATCACTACTCAAAGGCCCTTTACCTTCCCATTATTAGCTGCGCTCAATAAGGCCACACATAATATCAACAGCTGACATTCGTTTAGTACATTTCTTTGGTATTCCTGTTATGTGTGGCATACGGTGTGCGCCATTTTTTGGAATTTTGTCTCCATTAGTTTCTCTGCAGTAGACGCATAGATTATGCTGAAACCTGACGATAATCACACACTATGAAACGATTTGGGAAACTGCTTTTACTCGAACTAGATGCATTGTTTTAAAGTTATCTAGCAAAGAGAGACGGGGTGGGGGCTGCGCTTCTCCCGGCGGAGAACTCGGTGACCCCTCAGCTCCTCCGAAATGCCACCTCCTCGCCGCCAGACGGAGCGGCCGCAGACAAAGAGCCCGGGGTGGGGCTTCAAGCGGGCCATCTGCGGTTAGATCGGCGCTGTGTTTGTCTCACACAGGACGGATTCATTGTCTGAGGGAAACACACACGCACTGCGGAGGGCACTGACAAGGGGAGGCAATTAATCACAAGAGCAAAACTAAAATCTCAGCTACGCCTCAGTTTAATGTGCCGATATCACTTTAAAGTAGTCAATTTTCGGGAAGTAAACGTCTATGTACCAAAAAAGTCAACTCATATCTGTTCAGTGCGTGACATACAGTGATGCATCATATAACGGATTCTTGGCTTATTTGTTCTCTTGCACAATGGAAAACGGCCATCTGGTGGACATAGGTAATACTACATACAAAAGCTACCTCCGAGTGTCATTGCCGTTATATCGAGTGAGAGCCATACAAGATGTTTGGTCAGTTTGGAGTGAATCAACATAGACTTGGACTACAATCATGCGGTGTATTCTTCAACTGAGAATTTTTATATTGGATATATAAGGAACTGCTGATTGCCAACCCAGCTACCAGTGATAAAATACCTAATTTACAGATAATATTTATTATTCCAAAATATCATGTAATCAATTTGAAATACAACACCTTTGATTTTTCCATTCATATATTAGGCCAATACATTATATAAATGTATATAACATATACTACGTATTGTTGATGTCCTCGAATATAACAAATAAATGTTTTTAATATTCAGATTAAAACTAAATGTCTTGTATTTAATCATCAGTTATCAAACAAAAATGTCATTGTCTCACTTACCTCTGGTGTTACCAGGACTAACAGCTTAGCTGCAGTTAAAAGTTTAACACAAATTTAAACCGGAACAAGCCATTGCCTGTTTTCTCTGAGCCTGCAGAAAGCAACTGTGTATCAAATGAGATGCCGTCAGAACGACAATGTATTCCACAGACGGCCCACCAGACCCTATCCCATCTAATCCCCTACTCCACCCACACCCCTAACCTACACCAGGCTTGGGAGGTATCTATTTTATTTCATACCGTCATACTGTTCATATGTTATCCTTGAGGTATATGGTATCTATATTTCAGAAGCATCTTGATGGTAGGAGGGAGTAAAATTTGCCAAATGATAATACTGTACTACCTGAAAATATTGCGGTAACGCTGCCCAAACCTAACCTACACACTCTCCCCACAAATTTCACCAAGTTTACCATGGACTGCCACCGATATATTTCACTGGACTTCAACAAAAAAAAAATATTTTTAACTTTTTTTTTGCAAATGCAGAAATTCTTCTCACGCCCCACGTTTTCACTGAACTGTGCAAACGGTGAAAAAGATCCATGGAAGACTTGTAGTATAAGGTCTACTGTGTTCTACAACTGCCCTTTCTGCCCTTTGCTGCCACCTACCACTGCTGCTTCAGTTTTGGGAGGATTTGCTTCAAAATGAACTCAGGTGTATCCGTGTAATGTTTTTTGTGAAGTGGTAATACGATAACTCATAAGACCATCAAATACTTTTGGAGTTATGTTCACAGGGTCAAATGTCTTCTGAGGTCACCCTTTCTTTTGCTGCCACTAAACAGTGTTGCTTTGATTTTCATGCAATTTGTCTCAAAATTTGATCAGGTCCAGATCTCCATTCATACAATATGTCTGCAAAGTTTTCAAAAGATCCATTAAAGAATTTTAAGTTATTGAGTTATTGAGATCACCAGCCTGAAACTGCCATTTTCTGTACTATCACTATGCGGTACTCCTTCAATCTTGGTGCAACTGTCTCAAAATTTGGCGAGTTCCAGATCTTCATCCACACGGTGTGTCTGCAAAATTTGTAAAAGATCCTCGAAATCATTTCTGAGTTATTATGCTAACTTTGAGAGTGTGTGTGGAGGTGGGGGACAGTTCCCAAAATAAATTCCCCGTCCGGTGAATACAAACTAAACCCTGTCATTGCGTCTGTTTAGAAATAACCCAGAGTCCACTCGAGGTATCATGTATCATAAACCTGTATATAGCTTTGCTCCAGTTTAAGAAGAAATTGTGCCCCCATCCCAGCACCCCCCAAAATGAATATTCAGGGTTGCCAGCTCTCACACATCTGGTGCTACTGTAGACTCACTCTTTCAGACTTTCATGCTCACGGAATAAATCTTATGGCAGATGTATACTATTCCATTATAAACCTACACCAAAAGTGTTGGGGTACCTTGCAGACTCTACTGAGTATTTGCAAGGTAATAAAACTGTTACAAACATGTAAATGTATGTGCATATGTTTGCAGACTTGTCTTAAGTTGCAAATCTCACTAAAAGAGCCAGCTGACCAAAGTTAGCAACCTTGAATATTATCAATAGAGAATGGTCATACACTGTATGTCTTATGCAGGTAAAGCAATCCCTCATAATTACTGTTTTATAAATTATGAACAAGCATTTCCTCCAGTAAGAGTGTTGGCCTATCTATCTAGTCCATGTTCATGTAGGCTAGTGAAAGTCAGTTCTTGTAAAACAAACGATTTTATTGTAAAAACAAATGAGAAGGAATAAAAATGGGCGATTTAACTCCCAGTAGGCCTACTTCTTTCGAGTATGGGACCCTATAAAATTGAATTAGTATATTTAAAGGTTTTTCATTTGCTTTATGAAAATACATTGAAACAATCCCTGGGCCAGATGCCCACGTGCCATGGATTTAAAGGCGTGAGCGACACTGATGGAGAAAAATGCTGGTGTTCGCAAGAGGGCAGTAGCGAGCCATGCGGACGGTAAATGACAGTGTCACATGAA